CTGACATTTTAATGCAGTAGCTGTGGATGAGGAAAATGAACTGCAGGAAGTGACTGGACTTGTGTGTCCTCCTGAACTTCCACTGCCCCTTGTCATTGTTAGGGACAGTTCTGAGTGGAGCAGCTGTACCACTGAGATAACCCTGCAGGGCATTTCCATCTTCTTGGGTTCTTCCCTCTTGCCCTCTCTCTTCCTTTCTGGCTCATTACTGGTGATGCTAAAGATAGGAAGGTGAGAGCTTCACATTTGTAACAATATATTTTTCTTTTTTCTTTTTTTTGCCAACAGCCTTTTTCCTAGTGTTAAATGCTATTTTTGCAATATTTGCTATTACAAGGTGCCGAGACATCCTTCTGATGAGCAGTATCATTGAAATGTAAAAAATAATATCTTCATGTAATTGTTTTTCTGACAGAGGTCTAGGGTTTTTTGTGTATGTTTTCAATTCTGAAGCACACAAGGTCCAGCAAATTGAATAGCTTAGATTTCTCTGTATGTGAGACAATTTTATTGTGCATGGGAGGGAGTTGTGGTTGCTTAATTAGGTCTCATCAGACTAAAACAGCTGAAGGTATGCTCTGAAAGAGAGACAAATCCTGACTGACTTTATCAGAACTAATTCTAGTATATAAATTAGGATGGCTTACAGGACAAAGTTGAGAGAGAGATCAGCCTTGCCAAGCTTTCATGTGGATGGCAGAGGTTAAAATAAGAAATGGTTTTGACTCTTTTTATTCCTGCTAACTTTAGTAGAAATGCAAGTACTGATGAATTTTAAAATGTCCGACTTTATTTTTTTTTCCTTTTTTCCCTCAATTTCAGGTGTTGGGAACCATTACTACTACCTGTTGTTCCTGGTTTTCCTGACAATGACTGGTGTCTGGCTGCTTTATGGAACTCTTCAGTGTATGTATCTATGAACTTAGGTTTTTTTAGCTTTCAAAATCATCTATGTGTGGTCTTTATTTTTCAGCATTTCATTTCCAGCAAGTGCAACCTGCACAAGTGATACTTTATTTCAGCAGTGATGTTACTGTGTAGCTTAAGTGAAAATGCATCCTTTCTGAGTCTTCGGGCAAGTATCTGATTCCATTTGTACTGAGCAAGAACAAAGATGCTGCTATAGGGATATCCACTGGAAAATTGCTTAGCAGGAAGCATTTTTGTTAGAGAGGAAATAGGGAAGCTATGTGGCAGAAGATCAGGTGACAGGTTCTAATCTGGATGCCCTTTTCTGTAACAGAAAATAAGTTTGTAAATACATTATTGCAAAAGCTTGATTGATTTTCTTTTTTAATTTGGGAATATCCACACCAAACACAGACACTTCTTTTTGGTTTTAAAGTAGTTTAATTCTGAAGAGAAAAAAGTAGATTATTCATTAATGAGTCTGAACTGTTGCTTTATAAAATTAAAAAATCTATTGGAAAGAAGAGGCAGCCCTTATAATTTAGTTGCTGAGGATGAATTACTATAGCACCAACCTTTAAAAACAAGGATGTTTTTCTATGGATCATGAACACAGAATGTAAAGATTGTGCAGGCAGAATAGCAAGCACTCACACATCTGTGTGGGTGCTTTTAGGTGGCAACGGGTTAGATGAAACATATTTCTAGAAGATGTTGCTATGTAATATTAATTTCATGCAAATAATCTTTCCTCAGCTCTTAAGGGCTTAAAAACACAATTAACTGATTGTGTGTCTTGTCAGATTGGTCCAACCACTGTGCAGCAAATTTCCATCAAGATGGAGTGTGGACATACTTCACCCAGACAGTGTCCTGCTCTCCCTGGGTTTCCTACATCTCTTCAGTAGCCTGCTTCCACACCCTGTGGGCCTCTGTGTGGCTCACTGTTCAGCTTTATCAGGTAATGTTTTCCTTCAGTTTGTGCTTCTTGTCTAATTAAAGCTCTTCCCTGGATGATTTGCTCCCATAAAAACTCACTGCCTGCTCTCTCTGGTTACTGTCACAGCAAGGTGCTTCTCTTAAATCTCAGGGCAGACCTTGAAGTTTTACAGGTTCAGCTTGTGCACTCAGCATTTCTCTGTTGGAAGTAGAATCACAATCTGCAAATAATTCCTATAACTGAGCTTTGGGTTTACTACTCAAAATTCCAAGCCTATAAAAAGTTGTATTTAAAGACAAGAAATTTATTTGACTAATATAACTGGTATTAATGCCCCCAAAACTGCATGCAAGCTCAGTAACACAATTATTCCTGAGTTGAAAATTCTGTGGCAGAGCTCAGCCATGTATCATTAGACTGTATTAAATCCCACTGCTACTGTAAAAATATATGACCTGGATTTTATCTTGTTGAGGACTGTCAGATTTCTTGTTTATGTTTTTCAGATAAAACCTTGGCTATGCAAACAAAATTGAGAAGAGCTGTCTTAAAACATCTGTAAAACAGCTTGTTTAGCAGCTCTTAGGAAAGGGGTGTCTTTGAAGTATGTGTTAAGCACACTAAGCTAAGGGCTTGTTTTACATCTTGTTCAGTAAGAAAAACCCAGAAAACAAAAAACTCCACAATCTTAGATGTGTAGTGCTACATTTTTGCAATGTCTAAGACAGTGGGATATCATGCTGGAAAAAGACAGGGAGGACATACTTTTCAGTCATCAGTTACAGCAGTGGCTACTTATTTGTTAGATATGTCCAAGCTCTTCCCTCCTACTCCCTTCTTATTGGTATATTTTGCTCACTAGATTTTAATTTGTGGTGTTCATGTTGTAACCATTATTTATGGTTCTTTTTTTCCAATCAGACTGTGTTCTTAGGGTTGACCTCACATGAAAGAATGAATCTCCTGGTACAGAGAAAATCCTCTAAGCATCCTGTTTCACTCAGGAGGACACCATACAAGTGGGTACTAATGAATAGAGTGTTTTAAGCATGTTATCTCTTCAGTGCTGATTTGTTTCACTGCTTCATAAATGCAAAAACACTGTTTTTGGGGTGAGGGAGTGCTGTCCAAAAATTTGTTCATCAGTCTCTGTGTCTGTTGTGTAGGATCAGAAAGAGAATTAAGGTCCGAACTGTCCCCTTTCTGACTTCTCATGAAGTATTTAGCTCCATTAATAGAGAAATTATTACTAAGGTTTCCCTGTTTCCTCAGGTGTACTAATAGATGAGATCTCACTAGCTTTTAAATATTTGAGTTCAACTTAATCTGCTCTCATTTGTTAGAGTAAAACATGTTGTAAAAGTTCAGCAAAGGAGTAATGTTCAGTTGAGAGCTCTTCTGTTTCTTCTCCCTGAGCTGTCTGCCTTGACAGGTTAATACCTTAAGTACTGTCTCATGGTGAAGTGGTATTTTTCACGCTTGCAATCTTCTTTTTTTAGGTTTATGAATGCATATTTTTCTCTTTTTTTTCAGCCTTGGATGCTTCCAGAATCTTGCAGACTTTTTTCAGTGCAGTTGCTTCGGTATGTTCAAACCCAATGTAATTGACTGGACCAAGCAATACAAACTTTTTCATCTGGCAAAGGAGAAAAATGTTCATTCTGTGTAAAGTTTTGCTTAATTTCTAAGACAATTGAGCTGAAAGATAAATAAAACTAGATATTTTGTTAATTTCTACAAATTCTTCTGAAGCTGCTTGTTTCTATTTTTTATTATTGTTTCAAATATTAAACTTACCTTACATAAGATATAGCAGATTTGTATATGGAACAGTCACTGTGTGTCTGTATATGTATAGTTTGAGCTGAAACTATTTAAAATTTTATGTGAGGAGATGACACAAATATATATATTTTTAAAGGTAAGTTTTTGGGGCAGAATTTCAAAATTATGTTGGTACTGTTTGCTTTAATTTTCTGGTAACAAAAGACAATTAAATTTGAAAATTAAGGTGAGTGTTCATGTTTAAAAACTCAACATTACAATTACATTGTAATTTTATTGCTTTTGCTGTGAAAATCTCTATTGAGTCTTTGTATTTGAAGAGTTTACATGTAATAAAATAGAGCTTTCATACTTCTAAGTGTATTTTTGCAGATTGAAATAGATTTTAAGGGATATGTGACCAGTGAGGTATTTAAGAGTGGGTGGGCACAAAACCATAAGAAGGAGCCTGACTCTTTGCCTTATGTTATTCACATATATATACCCTGTTAGGGTATGGAAATGGGTAAGTTTTTGATGGAAGATAGCAATGTACATTAAAAGAGGGAATTGTTTCCCACTGCGTCTGTAATAGCTAATGCCAGCCATGTTCCCAGGAAATGGAGGGGCCAGCTGGACAGTGTGATATGAATGTAAGTCAAAGTAGGTAACAATGACAACCAGCAGGGAAAGAGTTCAAGATCAGGAAATTAAAGCCAGATACCATCTAGAATAGACATTTTAAGTACTGTAGTGAAATGCAATTCTTGTGAGTGGTTTCATTCACCTTGGTGAAATCCATTTATCTGAAATCTTGTAGAATGCATAAGCACAAGCAAATACAAATAAAAATAATGTGAAGCAGTAAGTAATTTATTGTAGCTCGAAAACAGGCAAAACTTACAACACTGTATTCTGAGAAAATGTTGGGGTTTTTTAAGAAATCACTCCCTCAGAGAAAGATTATTTCAAATTCTTTTTAATTGTCTCAAAGCAAATAACATCTACTTGTTTAACACAAATGTCAGCATGCTGAAAACTCAGTTAGGAGACTGGTGGAAATACAGACAGGTTAACATTGTGAAAAAAAGAAAATACAATCTTAACTGGGAACACCTGGACCCTTCACTTCAGAAGCGATCCCTATCATAATGGGGCACTATGAGTCTAAAATTCCAGACTAAAATGTGACAAGTACTAGTTTAAGAAGCAATAATGTTTCATGAGGTTCCTTGTCTTTATATACTAAACACAAATACGAGTCTAGTTTTATCATTGTACCTTTTTAATCTACTCTAAGAATTTCTTAAGATACAACTCACAAATTTTTCCTGCAAGGAGGAAAATCTTAATCAAATGCCCTAGATACTTAGCAATGTGTTGTTTAATGTTTTACTTGACAGCTATCACTTGGTGTCAACAGCAGTTTGAGTCTGATGCATCCATTTCTTCTCATTCACACTCTTTCTTTTCCACTTGAGTGAGGCCACCAAACCCAATTCCTTTGGGACCAAAGTTTTTTGCATAGCAAACTGCAAAAGAAGGAGTGGGAGGTAAGTGGTACTCTGAAGGGTCTCAGAGGTAGATGTCTTTCGGTTTTCATTTTTAAATTACTATCAAATTAAGGTTGATAAAAAGGAAGGAAATATGAAATAATGTATTTCCCATAAGTTTATCCAGGTCTTAGTAGTGAAACTGGTATTATGTATTTGAATTGCACAGAAGTTGCGTCTGGTGATCTCAAAGAAAGTTAAGAAATTATATATTTTTTAGATCTAAGTAATACTTTCATTAAAGCTGCTTTTCTATCTGAAAATGTTCAGAAAACTTGGTCTGATGAGTAATACAGAGTAAGCCAGAGATTTTTAAGAAGAACTGGAGCATAATCCAGAAGCTATTGATGGGCATTTAAGTAATTCCATTTGAACTCTCTATTGGTTAGTATGTGCCTAGTTGTTTATCACAACTCTGCTAAGTTGTAATGGTGAGGATGTTTCTCCAAATATGCCAGTTTGATCCACTTGTGGTTGCCAAACTGTACCCAAAGTTACAGAACTCCAGTATTCTTCTTCAGGGTTATCTATATATACAAAGTTTAGCTTTGTATATAAAAGATTCATGTACTTTTTTTCCCCTTAAGCTATTGCTAGGAGCCAAGTAAAGTCTGTGAACTTTGTGAATCTGACAAGAACATCTAGACAATTTTTGCATTATCTTCTGTGCTACCAATGCAGTGGAAATATCTTTAAAATTTTACTGGCAAGAATTCTATTTGGAGGACCAAAGATCTGTATCTTTGTGGATTTTTTATTCTAGTGAGTGAGACTGTGCAGGTACAAGAGCCTGCCCAGCAGATATGGCCAGTGCTCTGTTAGAAGGTCTGACAGATTTGAGGGGTTGTCCCATTTGTAGAAAAATTATAGCTTTATAGCTAAATATAGTTAATAGTAGAAGCTGCAACTGCAATGTTACTGTAGCTCTTTGTTTTCAGAAGGTTGTTAGAAGACAAAAATGGAAATTTTGGGGAGTATTAAGCGTACAGCAAGGTAAATCACAGTGGCAATCCTAGGTGAAAAGAGACTCACTTTAATTTGTTCTGTAGCCCCAGTCACTCTCACCTTTACAGTAGAGCTCTCCATCCTTGTCCGTAACGTTGGTGGATTCCAAGCTCTTCCCACAAATGGCGCAGCGGAAGCAGGTCTTGTGCCAAGGCTGGGCAAGGGGAGACAATTCATTGTGGGACACAGAAAGTGCACAGCCAGCAGGCACAAGAAACAAAGAACTACTGCTTTGTGTGGTGTGGAAAGGTTAAAATTCATTTGTAGATCTTGTGGCTTCCATTTTTAGTCATTCTGGATTAGCTTTTTTTCAGTTATGTTGTCTAATATGTCTTCAATTGCCACTACACATAAATGTTTATAAATATACCTAGAGATGGAGGAAGAGCCAGCTTGTACAGTAATCTGTGCTTGGTCCTCAGATATCAGTAGGAAGCAAAAAAATTTTAAAATATTTACAAAAAGTACAAGATTTTAAACCTGTTGTAGCAATTTGCAAATTCATCTTTGTGTTTCCTTTATGAATGAAAATTTAAATGATCAAGGGCCTCTTAGCTATAATTTCTCACCATTATAAAATGGTGGAGGTTTTTTCCCTAGTGCTGAAGTCACTACTTACTTTTCCTCCTCCCATGATCTTTTCTGCAGCATACACTGATTTGCCACAACGGGGACATTTATCCACATCTACCATCTTTTTGGCAAACTTTGAAGCATTAGTTGGTGTTGAAGGGCGAGCAGGCTTTGGTGACCCCCTAAAATAGAAGTTTTTAAAATCTTACCTTCTTTAGAAAAAGGATTTAATTATTTTTTTAATAAGGCATTAAAAAATACTAAATTGCTTATATCTGACATGCAAAAAGGGATTAAAAAAAAAAGATAAGAAAATCAAAGTATTCTATTGAATTCTGTGTTGTGTGATTGAGAAGCTGGTACTGTAAGCTCTGATGTTACCTGTTCTGGGCTAAGTACATGGAGCTGGCAGCAGCCACATGCACAAAAAAATATATTTAATGAAAATTGACTTAAAAACCAAGGTAACAGGGAAAATACAAGGAAAAGAAGTCTCTAATCTTTGTAAGTGGTTATCTGCTGGTACTCATCAAACTGAAAAGAGAAATTCAGGTTTTGCATACCATAGTTTCATTAAGCAGTGAGTTGGGGTTCTTACCTGGCCTAGGGTCAAAATGACATCAGAAAAGTAGCTTTGTTTTTTATTTCTGGACTTTGTGCTTTAAATCATTGTGCATAAAGCCTTTCACAGAATTATTTCTGAATTACCAGATAGTTGGACTGCAACAGGTCATTTTATCCACAGGATGCAACAGTTTTGGGTGCAGAACTCTGCCCATAATGGCTTTGTATGGTACAAGGAGCTACAGTTAAATACATTGTTTAAGCTTTTATTTCCTGCACAGCGTATTGGTTAATTGGTTTCTTTGTAGCAGACCACCAGAAGGAAGAAGAAGCATTGTTGATTTAGAAATGTGCAGCTTTGAGAATTGCAGGAAAATCCTATAAAAATGAACTGTCAGAGCTAATTATGTGCTTTTGGAAGATGGTATCCCATTAGAATTTCTCTGTTCAAACACATTCTCAGTCTGTTGTAAGTGTTATTAGAACCACAGGGAGGATTTAGAAATGTTATTTCCCCCATTGAGAGGAGAGCTAACAGTATGGGGTAGTGTGATTATTTCTCTAAGAGTAAAACGTTAACTGTGTTTTAGCCTCTAACAGGAAAAAAAAAAAAACATCTTTTTCTATGGTCAATGTGCCTTTACCACTGTGCTACAAATGGCAGATTACATTTGCAGTGAATATTTACATGTGTGGTGGCATACAACAGCTGCTTCTGCAGAATAATTGCCTGTTGAAGGAGGGTACAATTTGTAAAGCAGGCTTAAAGAGACTGAGCATCGTTAAAAACTGTGAATTACTGTGTTCAGGGAAGGAAAGGGTGTAGGAAAGTCAGCTCTGCTCCTTATGCTAGATGTTGTTATGGAAACAGTATGAAATATATAAAACACCCTGGTAAGAGACAAATAGGACCAGAAAAAGGAGCTGTCACTGGGGTTTGACTCACTGCTGCAGGTTCAAGCCCAGGTGGTCTCCGGTGTCAGTGCTGAGGCATCCAGCCCCTTGTCCAAAGCCAACCCCTTTGGGGCCGTATTTTCTCCCATAACAGGTTTTGCAGTAGATTTCAGATTCGTGAGCTGCTACTGTGGTGCTGTCCAGAGCCTTCCTGCAAGCCACTGAAAACAGGGAGAGAAAGGCACGTATCAGCAGTTGCCTTTTCAAATTTGAATTTATGTGGTCTAAAATAATTGCAATTAGTATTTCTTTTTGTTTAGCTTTAAAAATGTGGGGAAAGGAGCCAGCCAGCATGAAACTTGTCAGTATGAAATTTGACTGGGCTGTTGCTGAAGTAAGAGGGAGGTATGTGTGTATGCACATAACCTGTTCTTCTTTTGCCACTATGAAGTTAATCCTGTAACCCCAGGGAAATCTAGATCTGTGAAGCTTAAAATGGGCTTGAGATTGAAATTTGGCATCCTGAACTCCCAAACCTTAAATAAGGGGGGAAAGGTGTTGCAGGGACATTGATCTGAACTTCTCAGAATACTTGCTCTGAGTCTGTGGGGGCTTTCTCAGCTCAGCCCAGGCTGTTTTGATGTGTGTTTCTGAAAGAGGCTTTAACACTGACTCCTCTCTGGAGTCAGACAGGACATATTAGGGGTTTTTTTGCCATTATTTTTTTGTTGGAGCTGTAACACCAAGGCAAAGCAAGCGTCAGCTCTGTCAGACTTCCTCCAGGATGACAGGAGTGTGGCTGTAGCCATTCCCAAACAGAGCTCTTACAAATCATCTTTGGTACAGAGAACGACATCTTAGCTTAGCTCACTAAGAAAGGTCTGGCAGACTTTTGGACAGAAGGTGTCATAGGAATGCCCAGCTTTCATCAGGGAGTACAAATACAAATTACAGATTATGTTCTCTACAGCACTCTTAATAATCAATGGGGGAAAAATATAGTAGCTACACTCCTCACTGCTTAGGGAGCCTGTGTTTGCTGCACCACTTGGGGAACTCAGCGTGAGACAACCTCCACCCCACAGAGAGAGAGAGGAAGATCTTCCAATTCAGAGTCTCTCTTGAAAACCACGATTTTGCAGTATGCTAAAACATTACTATTTCAGTACTTCTTACAAACTCTTCACTGTTCAACAGCGATTGATTAGAAGCGGGAAAAAAATAAGCAAAAACTTTCTCTTCAGGTTCCTTAGTACAATGCTTGCCCTGCAGAGGGCATTCCAGGCACGGGTTATTGGTAGCTTGGGAAAGTTGCTGAGTTCACGTATGCAACAGAAAGCTGTGTAATACAGAGGTGTTGGAAGTGTCTAGAAGTGGAAGTTCTGGAGGAGCTGCCTGAGGGTTTGATTAGCACCTTTCCTCCACGTTTACTTTCAATGTCCTCCTCTCAATCCTATTTATTCACCGCAGGGAATTTACATCCTGCAACCTCTGCAGCTTTAATTACAGACTCCTAGAATGGTTTGGGTTGGAAGTGACTTTAAAGATCATGCAGTTCCAACCCCCAGACCAGGTTCCTGTTAAGGGGCAGTATAACTAGGTATACATCCCCAGCTCTCTGGTTATCTTTGTGGCTTTCCTCCTCCCTGTATTGCATGAAGGGAGAAATAATTTGCAAAGACCTTTATACTAAACAGAAGTAAAATTAGGCACTTCTGTAAATGTGTGAACCTGATCTCCTCGTACTATAGTCTTGCTTTGAGATGATAATTGTATTTGCTAAGGGAGTTAAGGGATGATGGAAACTCTAGCAGTGGATTAAGTGTTTCTATTTCTGGTACCTTAGGGATAGGGTATTAATTCACCACAACAGATGGAGCAAAAGGCCTTGAAGTGCTGTTGAAATAACTTTGAGACCTGTCATCTGCCAACAGCTCCTGTTCTCCTGCCGGCGCTGAGGAGATCCAGGTTGGTGGTGTGAGATCCTGCCAAATGTCCATCACAGCTGCACTTTGGGTAAAAGCTGTCAGTGAAACATCAGTCTGCAGGTGAGCAGGAGTCTGCATGGGAAGGAGGGATTGCTGGAAACAAATTTCTCTCTTGCAATACTTGTAGGGAAAAACTATGGAGCAGAGAGAGTGTTATAAATAATTTAGCTTGTCTGATTCTTCCTGTGTTAACAGGTTGCTTTGAGTTGTTTATAAATCTGCTGAAATTGAACTCTTTGACCAAAAAATACTGGTGTGTTTCACGTGTCTGGGCAAATATAATGTGAAATAGAAGATATATTTGAAATAATTCTATATAGAAATATACAAAAGTACAGCTAAATTGAGTGTTTGCATGCCTGAGTTTAGGGTTAAGGAAAAATTGGTTTCCTTCTGTTGAGAAATGAAATCCTATAAATGGTTCATAAAAAAGTTCACGAATGTGATAGATGATCCTGAGGCATTCAGAGCTTCTGAATAGTGTACATGAATCATGGGGGAAAGTAAAGCCAATTAACATACCTTTCATATGCCAGCTGGGCAACTTAGATGCATCTTTAAGTTTTGACCTTAAACATATTTCTGATGGGAATACTATTTTTAGTATCTAACATATTAATAATTAATTCAGACTTAAAACAAGGGAAAAAAAAAAAAAAAAAAAAAAAAAAAAAAAAAAAAAAAAAAAAAAAAAAAAAAAAAAAAAACCCACAAAAAAACCCCAACAAAATACACTACCAACCAAGAAAAGCCCCACAACAAACTAAATATTTGATAGAGCTAATGAATGTAAGTTGTTTATCATGAATCACTAAAAGAAAATAATTTGTACTATACTTGAGTAATAGTCATAATTATGCTTCATAATTATGCTCTATTAGGATAGATCTTTATTTTTATTTACTATTTATTGTTATAGGCAGAACATGGAAGCATTTAGAAAGTTTTAGTTGAGACTGAGATTTTCCTTTTACCATTCTGTAAGAATTGGCTGAAGGTTGTCAGTTAACTGAAAATTTTTTGAGGGAATCTTTTCTTACTTGGCCTTTTAGGCATCACCAAAGGCATAATTTGGACTTTCAGGCATCACTTTTGGGGCACCTGGAGAAAGGCAAAGACAGCTCAGGTGTGTCCTTTGGTCTCATTCTGCAAAGAGCTGTTCTGTATCAGCTAAGCACATAAAGTTAGTCTGATGCCTCCAAATAAGAAGTCTCTATCCCTCCAGAAAGGGAGGGAGAAAATTGGATTCAGTGGCTCCTAAACTGTCATGCTGGGAGTCGGACTGCAAAAGTACCAATCCCAAGTATTGTCTGCAAAATCAACTCTTCAGCTGTCTTTAGTTCTTAGCAAACTCTTTGCTTTCTCCCTCTCCACAAACGACAAACAGAGCTGAATTGGTACCTTCTCTCTGAAATTTTTTTGTTTTTTAATTTTTACCTCTTCTGCAGAGAAAGCAAAATTCCTGGAAGCCAAGCATCAGAGAGGAGTGTGGAGGGAAAGAGTAAGTGGAAAGGCATAGACCCTGTTCATTTCAAAATGGGACTACATGAAATATGGGGAGGAGGCTGAGGTAAGTGCAGAGTTGGTGGGAGGTTTTGATGACACCAGGGTCTTTCAGCTTTAAGGTGTGAAACAAATTAATGTCAGGATTCGCTGTGAAAGTAATCATCTCCTAAAAGTAAAGAAGTAATCATCCTTCTGTCTGATCGGTGCTGTTTGTTTAGTTCTGCTGGGCTTTTTAACCTGAAGGAACCTGTGGTATGCCACACTGTGGGACAGAAGGAAGAAAGTCCTGGAGATGGACTTAGATACTGGGATTCTGCAGCACCTTCATGTCCCTGACAAAATCCATCTCATATTTGGACAAAGAAAAGCCAGGAGCCCAAAAGGCAGATTGCTCCAGGTAAAAGGCAGCAAACTGCCTGCCAAGTAATACAAAAATAAATGTTCTGGCTTTAATGGCAGAGTTATACAGAGCTATAGGGGTGCTGTGATGTTAAACCATTCAGCCCAGCTTACTGCAGAGGAAGCATGACTTGTGAAAGCTCCTTCCATTGCACTGGATTTCCTCAGCATGGTACACTGTCTTCTCACAGGCTCCACACTTGGCTCCTCCTCCCCAGTTCGGCATCCTTATCTGAAGGGTTAACCTAGGAAATCAAATTACATAAATAAATGCAACAGCAAATGTGAATTCTTTTAAATGGAACAGCTTGACTGAAAAAAAGATATTTTTTTCCTCCCTCTCCAGTCAACTGCTACTGCATACTTGCAATATACTTCGTACCTGTGTGGTAGCAGAAGTGAGGGTGCTACCCTGGTGCTTTGAGGACAGGACAGTCCAAATCCCTGTGATTCTCTCGTAAAAAAGGATATTCCTTAGCTTGGAATATTGTGATGGTAAATATGTGAAATGATTGCGAGGTGTTTCAGTGAAAAGGTGCTAGGATCACTCAACCCTCTTCTGGAAAAGAGGGTCTAGGGTTTATTTTCCATCAAGTAGTCATTTTCTTTCAACACTGCCCTCTCCTGTACCCCAGCATAACCTTTTCTGAGTTCCTCATGAAGCAGCCACAAGATCTCTGTGCTGCACAGCCATTGTAAAGTAATAATGGACAGGTTGCTGAGGTGCTTGAGGTGTGGTTTTTTCCCTTTGTCAATTGTATTTAAAATTTAAACATCAAAGAAAACAAAGGGCCGTGGTTTCTGTTCCATTCTTGCTGTTCCAGTTTGTACTGAAGTGCCTTGCCCAAGGTCACACAGGAGGGCAGGAGTCCAGCCCAGGTCTCCTGATGTCAGGCTGAGTGCTTTTCCCTGTGATTATGCAGTCACACACCTGGAACAACCCCAGGCTCCAGTCTGCCCTCCTGTTTTCTTGTTTGAGTCATCGTTTCTGGAAAGACTGGGATGTCATCTGCACACAGAATTATCAGGTTGTTCCAAGCTCCTGGCACGGGCCTTCCTCCTCCTTCTTGGAAAACCAGTCACCTTCTTATTATAGTTATTTTGAAGCCTGCTTGTACTATTTGTGTTTGATTAAATTCACCAAAAGGTACTTTTAACTAAGAGGAGGATTTTGAAGGCTGAATCAGGCCTGCTACTTGAGAATTTTCTTCTGAGCTCAGGTGATAGAGAGAGGGGAATTTATCACAGCAGTGATGTAGTAGCTGGTCTTTTCAATTAGTTGCATTTTAGACTAGCATTTTACTATATATTTACATTGGACTAATGTCCTGTGCTTATCATCATCTCAGTGACTTCTGCACTTTAATCTTCTGGATTTCAGAATGAAATGAACAATGTCTGCATGCCAGCTCTGCACCGTGAGGGGAATCCTTTCTGACAACTAACACCAAAAATCCTGCAGTGGTATGAAAGACTTGTCTGTCCAGCGAAAGGAAGGGACACAGACTGAAGCAATAGCACTGGAGACATGGCAGTGGGGGCAGGTTTTGCAATCTGTGTTTGATAACAGTGCAGATACCAGCATATCCAAACATCTCTGCCTTACCACAGCAGTTATTAGCATATCCTTAACCCTGTGTAATTAAATGTCACTGTTGTAACTGCTACCTTCACTAGACAGTGTACCTGTCATCCTCGTGCAAGATCCAATCTCTCCTCCTCTTTGTGAGGCTGACTTCTGCTCAGCTGAGCACCCTCCCCAGCTCAGCCAGCCCAGCCTCCTGCTGTCACACTGCAGCAGCATTGTTAATCTCTTCCAGACCCTCCCAGCTCTCTTGGGAGGCTGCTCAGGAGCAGAACTGCTCTGGCAGTTCCAAAACAGCAATGATGCAGAAAGGAAATGAAAACTCAGCTTTTTTCTAACTCTGTTTATCTGTAATGTAACAAGTGAGAAGCAAAAAAAAACCAAAAACCTGATGTAGCTGAAATAAGAAACAAAACTCTGCACAATGAATAGATGATGAATTTGATCTCTCTCACTCAGTGAAGCTTTCACTGAACAGCACTGTTGAATTGGTTTTTCAATTTCTTTTAAATGTGAGATAATGGAACAGAAAGGAATCTTTCATGTAGGTAAAATCTTATTCTCACTCTACTATTCTATATTTTCTTCTGTTTTTAAAGTACTTTTGTATTGGTGCCATTTTTGCTTTCTCTTACAAAAACAGTTCAAGCAATACTTCAAACATTTTAAAAGAAGGAAGAGCAACTGTGGATAAAAATCAGTTTTGTGACACTTCCTTGAAAATTAAATGTGATTTTTTTTTTGTCTACAGTGTTCCCTTTCAAATCAGGTTTCCAGTGGAATCCCTTCCCAGCTGAGGCAGCACTGACAGCTGGCTGGGAGGAGAGTGGTTTGTACCTCTGGTCTCTGTAAAGCTGCTTCCTCTCTCTTAGGTCTCCTCAAAGGCACACCAAACCTCCAAAACTGTGGCAGCAAAGATAGTTGTTGGAAAGTAACTCCAATTACATCATCAGCTGAAGGGGAAAAAATAATCTCTGAAAAATTCTGATAAAGTATTGATAGTGAACCTTGTGCTGTCAAGGGCTGTGGTTGAAGCTCTTAGAAGGATCATTGTTCCTGAGGCTAATTATAGTAACATGACTGGGCATGCATACACATTTTCCATGGGTTTTTGGCATCACCTGATGGGAAGCTGTAGGAGAAAGAAGAAAGGCATGGCAGAAATATTTCTGTAAGGATACTGGTGTAAGAACAGAAGTGCATGCTATGATGTCTGTGCTGGCTGGAGGAACAGCTGGGTGAGTTACCAGGGCACATCTGTGTTCCTCCTGTCCGGGCTTAGCTCATCCCTTGGAGCTGAGTGGCCATCCCTGGAGATGCTGCCTGTGCAGCAGGGTCACCATGAGAAGGTAATCTCCACAGGGGGTGTGGCACTCATGGTTTTGTACTCATCTAAATTATAACAGTGGACAAAGCTCCATCCTTTCAATAGAAATAGAAATCGGTCTCCCATTTGTCGTCAGAAGAAAATAGATCCAAAGTCTCCACTTCCCATAATTTCATTCGGTGTCAGTGTCTAAATCCCTGTGAAATTCCCTAACTTTGTTGTCTTAATCTAGTTAACTTTTCATGTCTGCTCATCACACGGTTATATTCTGGTGATCTGGTGGGAAGTGGAGCAGACTCATCCTAAAGGTAAGAAATGTGTGACACAGAAACTTCTGAGTGTTAGTTGCAACGTGTGGGCACTCAGGGTGCTGTCAGGCTGGAGGAGCATTCTCAGGCTTGCTCAAATGCTGTTCAGCAGCTTGTGTCATTCTTCAGAATGTAGCTTCTATATGGAGCAGAATTTATACATCAGATGTGCAGCCAAGGATTCATGCCTCCCATTATTTAGAGCTTATATCGCTACTTTGTAGGCTGGGTTTGGAGCAAGGAAGCCTTTGAAGTGTTGGTGTGCTCCCAACAGGCATGAAAACATTGTGATCTGTCTTCTTTTGGGCTCTTAGTCATACTGTCCAAATCTGGGTGTCTAATCTGTCAGATTAGAGGGTCTCTCTCTAATCAAAGTGCTATTGATAAGGATAAAATCCATAAGTTAATTTTGATCCATTGATCTAAGTGGGTGGTGGATGCACTTCAGGCCTGATGCAATGTGGAGTAAAAGGCAGTGCTACTGCCTGACTGAGCTGCAGGTGAAAAATGTGATTAATTAATGGATTAATTGGAATTAATTCTGGTGCTTCCTTGCTAAACACAAGGTTTTCTCTTCTGTGTGCTCAAGCATTTGACAGTCTAGAGCTCAGGTATTATCTGAATGGACTGCTGAGTTGTGTATTTGCCACATGTGCTGCAGGATGGCTTTGAAGGGGATAAGCAGAATGGGCAATATTGGTCTTTGTGACCACTGGCAGTAGAAATGCTGAGTGGGAGTGGTGGGCAGGGTGTGCCTTGCATCCCTCTGCATTTTAGTCCCAGTTAAGCTGCTTAGTCCAAACTCAGAGGATAAGAAAACCGATTCCTTGATTCCTTACCTAACACACAAGCAATAATAATATAAAACTCACACATCCCTGTCTACATTGAAATGCAAAGTATCAAGGCCGTATTGGAAATTCTTTTCCCAGCTGAAGTCTGTGGGAATGCTACTGCAGCCAGAACTTAACTCTGGTATCTAATCACAGCTCTGCTGTGGCCTGTCCTGTGACCACCGTGACTCATTTGACCGTCCTTAGTGGTACTCACCCCACCAGCAACGGGGGCTAACAAGATATGTCTTCCTTTATATAATAGCCATCAAATGCTGCTGTGGTTTTTCTCTGCAGCTGACACTCACGGTGAGGTTTGCTTTTGATGTGTCTGCATTTGAGCTGCCACTACATCTCGAACAGCCTGGAGGTGTTTCTGTCAAAATCCAGCCCCTTGTGGGACATGCTTCTCCCTCAGCAGGAGAGATTCACAACAGAGGGAAGACTGAGCTCATTTGTGTTTGAAGACTGAGCTCATTTGATGGAGATGTGATCTTGTTATGTGTTTATAATCATATTTCTGATATTCCAATGCATTCACTGGGCTGTGGCTACAGGTAAATTTTCTTAGTCAGTGTCATACATTGAGGTTCCACCACAATCTCATAATAACCAGCATTTTCCCTTTTACATCTTGTTGCAGTAAAGCAACACAGAGAGGTCAAGGTATGGGAATTCTAACACTGGAAAGTAAATATTGATTTTTCACTGACACTAGTCATGCTAAGTTACACGTGGCACTTTGAAACAAAAGATTTTAACTGACTTGATGTGAAGCACATGTGCATTGCTGAGGGGTGATAGATAGTGCCCCATTCCCTTGCTTTTATATCTGTTCTTCCACTTTTTCTATTATTTTCTAGCCTAGTTATGCCACTTGTCCTTTGAAACTTCCTTGATGCACACTTTTGCAGAAATTTAAGATTGCATCTCCAAAAAATACATTATCCTGACTCTAGAACAAGGTACTTAATTCTGACTTAAAAACCAGCCCCACCCCACATTGGCGTGTTGCACACTCACACTCATGGTTCAGTCTGATCCATGTGGCTGTGGAAAGCTGCACCCTGCTGTACAAATGACCCATTCAATTTTCCAGGCCTTATCCTGGGCTATCAGCTTTCAGTATTCCTTCCACAAGATCCTTCTCTAAATCCTTATCCCTGCACTAAGTCCTTTAAGTGCC